GGTTGGAAAAGTGGGGGTCGTCTTGTACATGGGGGCGTCTTATAGATGGAAAAATACGGTATATCCCATTTTTCTTCAAGGAGCTCCAGATGGCTTAGATAGGAATCTCCTTTCACTTTTATTCCTGCAGCAGAAAACCTGTAAGGAGGACTGGGCAAAGAGAGCGGCCCATTGAGTTTCCATGGTTGAGGGTGGGCTTGAATCTGGATCTGCCCAGTCTTAGATCAGTACCTTAACTATCATAGCCATTCCTTATGCCCTCTGCACACATCAACCCTAAGCCTTCTAGCAGCTATAGTTGTTCTTGATGTTATTGTTACTATTATTCACAAAGCAATATCTTTTTTCAGGAAGGCATGCAGGTTCTTTTATTTTTTGGGGAATAATGGCACCAAAAGTTTGCTAATCCTTGCATTCATCTACCTCATAGATTGAAAATCTCATAGATTGAAAATTGCTTGTGTGGGCATGGAGGAGTGTCTGCTGATATTTGGAAGAAATTATTTTAGCCATTTTTGAGTTTTCTTGGACATGGGTTTATAAGCAGCATAATTTTCAATTTTATTATTTCCTCTTTTTTTTTTTTTTTGCAAAAGAGAGCTTGTTAGATTATGTTTTAATTGTAAAATGTTTAGCCATGCATCTAGCAGTTCACTGGGATGGTTTGTAGTCCCAGGAAGGGCAATATCTGGCTGACCTGGATGGGTTTGGAAGCTAAGTTTGCTGAGCTGGGCTTAGTTAGTATTTGAATGGGATACCAACTGGGAGCACTAGATGTGTAGGCTGGACTACATTCATACATAATCCCCTTTTAGGCTGAGCAGTATTATCCAAAGTGTTTAAAAATAATCAAGCTATAACTCAGTTCCTTATTAAAGTCAAAGATCAAAAGAATACAGATCACATAATGAATAAAATTACTAAAAAAATTAAAATCACTAAAAATGGGCAGAGTCAGCAAATGACATATAAGTACTAGACAATCATCTCCATATGGTATGAATTCTATTGGCAGTATAATAAAATTTAGAAACATAAAAACAAAGTCATTCTGATCCAACAAAAGAAAAGAAGATGGGTTTGTTTCAATAAGACTCAAGAAGATAGATAAATTAAGGCATGAGAGAAGAAAAAGAAAAGCAAATCTAGCTGAATCTGGTTTACAGTACTATTATTCCCTATACTCTTAACACACCCCCTGTCATTACAAACCATCCTTACTTCTACCACCAGTTCACAAGGGCCTTTTGTCCTTCATAGCCCAAGGAGATTTTACATTTGTGACTGCAGTAGCAGTTAGTGAGAAACCAGTAGCCACTGATGTGAAATGTTGTGCCTCCTTCAGATACTTAACAAAGACTGCAAAAAAACTGGTTCTGTTAGCAGTGTTTAATTATCTCCCATGTGTGTCATGAAAGTAACACGATTTTTAAAAACTATTTCTATTTGGCATATTGTGTGAGCACCTTCATCTTACTGTCCAATAAACCTTGTTGTGTTTTCAGAGGGAAATAGCCCGGAAACTTGCAAATCCTAAGCAACCAACTAATCCTTTCCTAGAGATGGTAAAGTTTCTTTTAGAAAGAATTGCTCCTGTACATATTGACTCAGAAGCTATCAGGTAAGTGCAGTATGTAGCAATTTTCACAGCACAACTTTTTAAAAATAGCAGGTCATTGGCTGGTAGGAGTATCTCTTTATTTTGATCCATACGTTGATTTTTTTTTAAGAATTCGATTAGGACTGGCTCTCAAGAGTTTTTGTACTGAGGCCTGAATGTATATTGATGTTGTCATCTCTCTTGCCTGCTCTTTATCTGGCAGCGTTTATCTTAGATGTGGATGGGGACACGTATTATATTCTCTTCCCATTTACTCAGAGGACAAGTTTATCGTGAACAATTACAACATTATTTACCAATAGCATTGTATGAACAGGGTTTGATAAGTTATTTCTTTTTAAAAAGGCAGATCAACATATGCTTAATTACAAAATGAAATGTTTAGCTTGTCACAAGGGGTTCTTCTTTTCTCGTGTTTCAGAGGTACTGTTTATCTCCTTTCCTGTTCCTCTCCCTTTTTCCCCCTTCAGTCTGTCTGTCAACTTCCCATTAGGGATTCAGCAGTCTGTAAATATTAATAATAATAATAATAATAATATGCCATTCTCCTTTATTACCCCCTAAGTTCTTTGAGCTTTTCAACTATCTTTCTTATAAGAAAATGGCCAGGTAATTCTTCACTTGCCTTCTAGCAGAACAACAAAATGCCCTCTCGTTACAAGGTTAGTAACACATGAAAAAGATTATAGGAGTTAGGAGTGTACGAGCATTTCATCATGTTCCAATCCTGGAACAGCATTTCAGAAGAGGTCTCTCTCAGGAAAGGGCATTCTGAGGTTGGAATAGCTTGTTCCAGGGTTGGAAAGTTTTGCATACTCCTGGTGGAAATTTCCTTTTAAAAGTGAAATAGAAATAGTTGAACACAAGATCTAAAGAATTGTGAAAATAAACAAGAATTTCCTTGCTTGTTGGATGAGAATGAGAATGTTGGCTTTGATAGATAAATGGGTGAGTTGTAAAAAGGGAATAGATTGAATGTGTAAAATATATAAGCAGTGATTCTTCATATAACTGAGATATACGTTTTTTTTTTAATGTCTTGCTTTAGTGCATTAGTAAAGCTGATGAATAAATCAATAGAAGGGACCGCCGATGATGAAGAGGAGGGCGTAAGTCCTGATACAGCAATTCGTTCAGGGCTTGAACTTCTCAAGGTATTGCATGTTAAATCACTCAGCTAGTATTACATATGAATTGACTGTGGCTCAACCCATTTCAGAATGTTTTCTGCCAAAGAATCAGTGGTTCCCTTCCAGTATTTAAAACTACATTTCCAGCTCAACTTGGTTTACGCTGGAAATCAAAAGTATTTCAGCCAATGTTGAATTCACCAGTTTATTCAAGCTAAGGTCTGCATTGGTTAAGATAAAATCTCTTTTAGAATGAAATCTTAAGAATTATTAGAATGTTTAGAAGACAGCTTCATTGCCTTATGTTGTTTTTCTCCTACCTTTAAAACGAGCTCCTCTGAGAAGAAAGTATAGCTTGTCTAGATGCATATAGCCTGCCACTGTTTCAGATAATCAGGGTGCATTTATTAAAATGTTTTTTGGTTTGATATGTATCCATAGGTTTTGTCTTTCACACATCCTACCTCGTTCCACTCCGCAGAGACATACGAATCTCTCCTGCAGTGCCTCAGGATGGAAGATGATAAGGTAGCAGAGGCAGCCATACAGATATTCAGGAACACTGGCCACAAAATAGAGACCGATCTGCCTCAGATAAGATCGTGAGTGCATTTCTACATGCAAAAGTGTTTGCGATTTTTTGTTTTCCTTAGTAAATGTGTTAATAATAAAATATTCCCCTTTCTTACTCGGCCAAATACGTATAATCTCTTATTGATGCACATGATTATTGCATCTCTTGGTGTGCAATTACCATTTGAATAAATTAAAATATTGGCTTAGCTACTGTATGTGTATTCTACCTCTGTTATACAGGTGGAGTCACAGCCTGAGGTCTAGATAGAATGAAAGTGGGAAGTTTTTATAACAGTAAGACATCTGCGTTACAAGCTTAGTTTAGATAAAATAGATGTTACGGCATTTGGTCTAATAAAAGCAGCGTACTAGCAGTTGCTTTTCGTTAAGAGCCTAAGAAGATGTGAAGAGTGATTGATATGGGTATGAACAAAATGGAATCTTACCATCTGTTATACAATATTTAATAGCACTTTTAATAATAAAACATCAGTGGATTCTGTGTTATCTCCTTTGAAACATTTGGGACTTCTGAATGTAATAAACTTATTGATTGATATTGATATTTTCTTTGAAATACAAAAAAGTACAGAGCTTGAATGATTTTATTTGTTTATTTATTAAATTTATCCCCGCCCATCTCCCCCTAATGATACCATCAGAATGACCGATTTTATAGGAGAGTGTTTACAAAATTTTGGTAATAATACAGCATATTAAGTGCATGCAAAACATTTAAGATTCAAACTGCTTTAAACATAGTACTCTGTTGTGAGCTGGAAACAACTATTTTGAATTTGAAATTTATTGTTTTTATTATTTCTGATGTGGCCATTTCAACTGCAAAATGGTATAAATTTTGAATGTTTTGCATCCACTAAAGCATATGAAAGTATTTGAAAGAAAGTATTTGAAGGAATTCAGGCTGGTGCTATACACAGCATATTTTGTCTTGGAAATAAAACACGTATTTCTGAGATGTTTCTGATGTGTGGCAGTGTAATCCTTTTCATGGCTTGTGTGGGTTGTGTTGTAGTAGGTTAAGTGGTCAGGCACGCTTTGATAAAATTCCATGGATATCCATTTTGTTGGAAGATGCTGTATAGGTGGTCTTTTTCCTGCTGTTCTGGGTTGCTGCAATGTGTTTGTGCTCACTTGAATAATGTTCTTACACAGCTCCTCTTGTGGGAGGTTGGGTTGTTGCTTTG